TCCAGTAATCTCCCGACAATTCACGAAGGTACAATATATTTCCAAAAAGCAGGGGGCGTGACACTAGTCACGTGACCTCGCTGACGCAACATTATGTTAAAAACGACAGGAAAAAGTGTCACCCACAGAATGAGAGTAATCATTTCTAATCTTGGATATGGAATTGGCATTCATACTGCAGAGTTTATCCATCAGTTTTTATGTAAAATGGGTGACCTGACGTTCCATAGGAAAGCTTTCCAATGCTGCCTAGACAGAGCACAAGAAAAGTAGACTGCACAAGTATATGTAGCAAAGGGAATGATAGTACCTCCACAAGTTGTGTTCCATGGTGTAATCTATAAAAAGTATAATGCATCAATGCCATGTATTGAAATAATAAAAGCAATGCATGAAATAAACTGCTTCTTGCCCCAAAACAGTAACTTGAACAGTAATCAGTGTGGTAAGGGATGAAGTCCCTTTGTTTTTTTGTAACAATGGGCTATCCAGTTGTACACTGGAATGTTTATAAACATGATGAATAAAGAAATATTGGTGCTAATGGTAATACTATGGTTGTGTCCATCATACTGTGGCTGAAAGCAAATATGAAGCTATTGACATACCTAAGGCTGGTGGTTGAAGTTTGTGCCAACATTCTAGAGGAAATGCAGGGACTTACACAGAGACTCAGTGACTTATTGGATGAATACGACAATGTATTTGTGGGACCAGATGGTCAATTTGTCGAATGACAGTGATTCAGCATGATATAGACAAAGGTGATGTTTGTCCAATAAAGCCATTACCATGCTGATCTTTCTTGGAGTACCAGAGTAAGTAGATATTTCTTTCTTGTACAGTATCTACATATGAGCGACTTATCAATATGGATAGAGTATGCAACTACATGTTCTAATTTGTGCTGTGACTGTAATAGTACTGCTCCAGCTCTTTTGTCGCTAGTACCAGTGTCTAATAAAAACTCACATACTTGGCGTGAATAGGCCATTACTGGAACATCCACTGAGACAGGTTTAGTATTCAAAATGCTTGATCACATTCCTTACTCCATCAAAAGTGCACCACCACTGCAGTGAGAGCTTACAAAGGTGCTGCTTCTTTGAGATGTTGGTCACGAATTTTTAGTGATATGACACGAAGCCAAGGAAACTACTAACTTCTTGCTTCATCACTGGTCTAAACTAATCTCTCACCATAGCTATATTAGCCAGTTCTGTCGAGATTCTATCTTTTCCCACAAAGTGGCTGAGAAACTCCATTTCTTTTCACAAAATGGAACATATTATTTGTTCTAAATTGAAGCCTGCTTTTTATATTCACTGGAATACAATCTTCAGGTTTTTACATACGGGCCCAAAAGTGTAGCCAAACATCAAAATATCATTGACGTAGATCATACATCACTCCCATTGCAGTCCTTTGAGTGTAAGTTCCATTCGTGGCTTAAACGTAGTTGATGCATAACAAAGACCAAATGATATGAAGCAGAATTCATACAAGCTGTCTTGTGCTAATAGTATTTTAGACCAACTATCATCATCCAGCTGGACTATTCAGTATCCAAATGTCAGATCCAGGATGTTAAATCAATGGGAACTTTCTAATGTGTCCAGACATTCATTTGTTTGTGGTAGAGGAAAGTCGTCAATGCAAGTTACTGCATTTACCCATTCACAATCAACAAAGAACCTCTGCATACTTTCCTTCTTTCTGACAGCTGCTACTGGAGACAACGAAGTACTATATCAAAGGTTGTATGACTCCATTTTGCAGCATTGTCCACTCTATTTCATTGTTCCCAATCTCTCTAGTACTTGAGGGAAGCTACACAGTGTTTACTTTATCAGACATGCCTAACCTGTGTTTTTGAGATGCTGAATCAACAATGCTTGACCAGTCAACCATCTCTTTCCAGATATAATAATTGTATTCACCCAAAAAGTCACTGAGTTTCTTTCACTCTGTTGAGTCTAGATTAGTTGCACAATTCTCAATCTACGAGTTCAGGTGCTTTAGTAGCCATGTGCTAGTTTTCAGCCATGACGTGACGTTTGCTTACCACACTATTCTAGCATATAATTACAAAATAATTACAAAACAACATCAGGACTTCATCCCTCATTGCAAAGGTGACTGTCCAATTTAATGCTTCCTGCTTTCTGGAATGGAAACAGTTTATTTCATATGTGATTTGTATAACAATGTTACACAGTACTGACAGGCAAAACTGATGGCTTAATTTTGAAGTATATCCATCCTGATGACTCCAATACCAGATAAAAGATCAGATAATACCTTCCTTCTGTGAAACCAGCATTTCCTACACAGTGCCAAAGATATATCTGTACCATAACACCTGGCCTACCACCATTTACCACAACAAACTTCA